CAACATTTCTTGAAGAGATTTTTTAACCTTTTCTGCCATTTCAGCAATGACAGGGTTAACCCGAAGCAACGGCCTGGTGTAAAACGTCTCTTTGCACAGTGGACATTGGAGTACAGACAGGGTGCTCCAGTAGTCTGTGATACAGTTCATACAGAAGTTGTGTCCACAGGGAATCGACACAGGTTTAGTGAACACACTCAGACAGACGGGACAAAGAAGACTGTCCTCAGACACCAGAGCCGACGCCGCAGCCATGGCTGCAACATACAAGCAGAGCTAATATTAGCACAGTGTAAAGTTACTATAATCCTCATTTATCATCATCAGAGTTCAATATACAAAAAAGCAAAAATGAAACTGAAAAGAAAATGCGACTGTACCTTCTGTATGAAGACTGAGCGGTGTAAATCAAAGAAACAGGCTCTTCTTCTTTTTAGTTTCTATTGACACACTGACCACATCGTCTCCTCCCACTTCCTCATTTGAGTAGAACAAATTAAGTCTTTAGAAAACAGACCATGAAGCCCTCACAGGTTAAAAAGGTTCACTGGGAAGCTGATGAGCAACTACAGCAGCTCAGAATGAACTCCTGGATTCAAACCTTCAAGAAAAACAAAGTGGATAGAAGTTTGAACAGAGGAACAAGTTAAGAGGAATGAACAAAGGGGAGTTCTGACTCCGCCCACTGAGACTTGCATTTTGTTCCTGCATCTGTGATCTTTATCTCTGGCTCTGGGCTCAGGAACAGGAGTGAGTACACTTCTGTACTGATATCAGCTACATGTCAAATCCTTCACAACATCACAGTAATTTCATCATCACTGAGTTCACAGCTTGAGGCTGTTTTTCTCATGAACATTCAAGAACAGCTTAACACGGCCTATATCGAAAAGAAAAGTAGAAACACAAAATGAAACTAAACTGGGTACTCCTGTGTTAGCCTGATATCATGAGCACAGTCCAAAATAAACACTAGACACTCACACTCAAATTCAGGGCTTTGTCTGCATTAGTGAGTCACATGAAAAATAATTAAGAGAAAGATTAAGACATCAGACTGTGACATGATGGAAAATCTGACCAAATAAAAGCAGCTGCATCAGAAATCAGGGTCATGGTGATATTTTAACATGAATCCACACACAGCAGGGATGCTGTTCCAGACCGTCCAGGGGCTGTCAGTGAAAATGAACGTCCCTCAGAGTGAAGGACAGTGTCCACGAAATAAAAACGTTGTTTGCTCTTTAGGACAAAAATGCAGACTGAAACGTTCCTAAAGAAGTCTGATGAATAATTCAATTCAATTCAATTTTATTTATATAGCGCCAAATCACAACAAAAGTCGCCTCAAGGCGCTTCATAGATACAGAGAAAAACCCAACGATCATATGACCCCCTATGAGCA